AAACCAAATTATTCTGATTTCTCTTTCTCTCTCTCTCACACACACCATCTCTCTCTCTCCATTCTAATAATGTTTGCATTCGCTTCAATCATATTAAGAATCTCTGAATCCAGATGTGGATAAGTATTTCTTGTGCATCTCCTCGTGGGCAAAGTTCCTAGACTCCAGGATCTATAGAAAGTCGGGTTACCTTAGAAATATTATTATGTTATTATAATGTTAGGAACCAGTGTACACACACACCAAGAAGGGCTCCGTTAGAGGCGAGTGTCCAGAAAGGCGGTGGCCTCCCTTGAACCAAAAGCTCTATTCTTTCTGTCTGTAGAAACAAGAGTGCATTTTGAGCGGCCTGGAATGTTCTGCCACCTTGAAGGCCAGATGAGGACCATGTAGTTCTGAACTTAGAAAAGACAGCTAGGGACAGGGGAGGTGATCATCATTCGGAGACCGTGAAGGTGCAGAATAACCATCAGAGGGGCCATGCAGAGGCAGAAGGGAGATATTACTGATGCTTCGGTAGCAGGGGGAAGACACCAATCTGGAAAGAGAGTGATATTTTTGTCGTTCCTTATGGTGAGATAAGGAGTACAAATATTGGAAGTGGGGTGGGGGTGGTTTGTATACCAGCCCCTGGCTCTTCCTCGGTAGGGCTGTAAGTTCTCTGGGGGAGAGTAGAGTGGGGACAAATGGGAGGCAGGAGCACCAACATGGTGAGTCTCTGGTCCCTGGAAACAATGCTTCCTCCGAGGTTACAGCAGAGGTCAAGTCTCCAAGTGGCAAGCCATGGTGGTCTGGACTTGCTGTAATTGGAGCAAGCCATTCCCATGCCCTCTTGGAGATTTGACTAAGTTTATTTTTCTCCGAAAGAGCCAGTTTAGCTTCCCACTCCGGGACTCCTAAGGCAGCTTGCTGAACAATTTCAAGGCTTCTACTCTGTACCTGCCAGTGTCACACACAGTCTGTCTCCTCTACCACCACAGGCTTGAATCCCCGTAAGGACACCCACTTGTCAGACAGTTCAAGTTCACACAGAGTTTTCAGTTGTCTGCGGAGGGGAATATTTCCTTGATCTCTTTCTCTCTCCTTCTCCAGAGTGTGGCCCTAACAGGTGGCCATGTCCCTTCTCTCCCCTCCGCAGATTCATTAATTTCAAAAGCAGGCACAGAGGCAAGGAGCTATTTCCCACTTCTTCTTTTCATGGTGAAGTAAAGGAAAATAACCATCTCAGGAGACCACACACAGAAAAATCCTAATGAAAAGTAGAGGGTAAAAGAGACGAGAGGAGGCAAGGCCTGGATTTCAGCTGCAGTTATCGGCAGCCTCTCAGGGAGAAAATTAGAAACCTGTTCACCAGGTCTCCAGTGTGGGCACAGAGCACAGTTCCAAAGGGGATGAGAGGATCTTTCTGGAAAGTCTACTTTCTCACCCCAGGCCCTGACCTGAAGAACAACTACCGATGGCCCAGCCCTCACTGAAGCTGATTCTGTAATGAACCCTCAGAAACGCAGACTTGTCGATGACACCATCAGAGATGTGCATGCCAGCTCACAGGAAACCCCAAACCCCAGCTTTGGGAAGTGCATTCAGTTTGAAAACCAGCACCTTAAAATCCCCCAGCCACTTCCTGAGTGGCGAAGGTGAAGTGGTCTGAGGTCTGTGAAGCCCCCAGACAGAAGGTCTAGAAAATGAAAAAGTCAGGTCAGACAGGACCCTGAAACTCCCTAGCTCTTCCAGCCTGGGCCTCAACTACTCGTGGGAAAGGGACTGTTAATCCAGCCCTCCCCTCATTGCCTAGAGGCAAGTGCTTGGGTTGGGCGCCTGGGGAGGCCGCTGGGGACAGTGCCAAACCCACAGCTCCGGGAGGGGAGGGGAGGGGCGGGGTGGTGTTGCAATGCTAACCCTTTTATAGTCCGGATCGAAGAGGAAGAGAGTGCAGCCTGGTGAGAAAGTTAAAGGGGGTAGGCAGCTGCAGACTGGGAACAGATGGGCTTCTAAATGAAAATGCTTAAGCCTTTTGATGTACAAGTGACTCAAAGCCGTCTCGAGTCTGCATGTCTATCGCAAATTATAAGATGTTTAAAAGATCACGGCATTAAGGATCTGTCGATAAACCCCCGGCTTAAAAAGTATATTTATACCAAGTCACCAATATCTGATTACATTTGCCCTAAAATAAAGACACCAATTTTCTCTAATTTTTCTTGGCTGTGGATCTCTTATCCCTCTAACCAAAAATCCAAGCAATGCAAATAGCTGCCAGGATCATGTCCCCAAAGCAACCCTCATTCACTTCGCTTTCTTTCTCTTTCAGCATCAAAGCTTGCCATAAATGTTTAATTACATGGAAGCTGCCTTTCCACTGCAAATGACTGGCGCTATGAAAGGCTTTTCATTTTTTAAGAGAGGCGGAATGCGTGTGTGTAAAACGGTCCCTATTAATTTCCTGATATTGACTCTCTGGCTGGGGACGGAGCACGGAGTGTTCAGCAGAGAGCACCTCTGCAGAATGTTAAAGGCAGCGCTTGGACTGAGAAAGGGTACCAAATGCAGTATGCGTCAAACAGACCATCGCTCAATGAAGTCACTTAGCTATTCAAAACATGTCCAGCCATCACTCAACCGTTTGCACCAAGAACACCGGGAGGGGGCATGTGATGTGAGCTCCTTCCCAGACTGGTGTTGGGCTCGGTACGGGCTAGACCTCCAGGACTGCATCAGTTTTACCCTCTCCCCCATCGGCTGGCCCCAACTCCCTGCAGCACCAATCCCACGTTGAGCTTAACAAACAGTTCTGCAGTGCTCACTCCCCGCCGCCGCCTCAGAGGGCCTCCAGGTTTGGTTCACATCAGTGAAACATGCACAAGCCTCTTTCCACACAGGGGCATATGTGTGTCTCTGCCTGTCCTCCTATAGGTGGCTTGTGCACACAGACAGATTTAGCTATGCAAATTTGCCCGCTCATATTAAAAGTCTGTGACTAAATGCAGCTTGTATGACCTGCAGAGTTTTCCCCCCTTCCTCTTGTGTTTATTAACGTGTCCCAGAAGCACACCCCTTCCTCACGTCCCAGCCTCCCAGCCTTTACACCGTGGGAGCCCCTTGGCCCATGGCACATGCAGCACAATGCCCTGATGACTCTGCAGCATCAGGGCCAACAGCTGACACCCCCACCTCACGCCTTCCCGCCCCCCCAACCTCTCCATGCCCTCGCCTCCTGCTCACACAGTGCTGACTCGACTTGCTTCTGGATGACAGACATGTCACTCTGCGTGGAGGCAAATCAGCGCTCAGCCTAACCCGCAAGTGACCGCTGTTTATTAGAACTTGGGCTGTTTCCTGCGAGAGACGCATGCATTTTTAGACTTCATAAACGTTAACACACACACACACACACACACACACACACACACACACACACAGCCAGCCACCTCGAACGATACGTGGGGCTTGTAGACATTACGAAATGCTCTTGAACATAGCTTGAGCTCCTGAAATAATTAGAATCTACCAAACAAGGATTCTTAGAAACAACAGATTTTTTTTTTTTGTTTTTTGTTTTTGTTTTTTTTTTTTTAAAAGGAGATTTGCAGATGGTGCTGGGCCTGTAACTTTTGAGGAGTGAGGGGGAAGAGGAAGAACCTTTCCCAAGTCCTTCATTGCAAAAAGCCGAGCAGCACGCAGGAGAAGAGCTATTTACCCTCCTCATAGGTGGCAAAGCTGGACCCAAAGGCAAACCCTAAGGACTCCAAAGCATCCAGAGCAAATCTGACTTTATAATTTCTTGTTTTCACCGTATCATAGATCATTCCAACGAGGAGGTTTGGGAGGACGGGGTGGAAGGCCAAAGAGTAGAGAGTGTGGGTTTTGCTTATTGATTTTCTTTCCTCTGAAACTAACCCAGCCAACCTTGGTCTGCAGCGTCGGCGGCGGAGGGAGTGAAGTGGGAAAATGGTGGAATGTGGAGGGGGCTTATTTGGAGGTGGGTGGGAAGGGGGAGTATGGGGAGGGGAGGGGCAGTGTGGGAAGGGGGAGGAGGTGGGAAACCAAATACCTTCGAGGCAGCAGGTTCTCCATAATCCGGAATGGGTCATAACTTCCTCGTTCTTTTTGCTGGTTTCATTCTCACTGACACTTTTGGTCTTGCAAACCCCTCTGGAGTAGAGCCAATAGTCGGTTCCCACAGCGATGGTCATCAAGCTGAAGGCAGCGAAAGCACCAACGGTGGTTAAAAGCATTTGAACACCTCGATCAAACAGCCCCATAATTCTTCATTATATAAACACCCAACCGACTTCTGGTTCTCAGGAGCGTGTGTGTGAGGGTGCCAATGGTAATTCCACTACTAATATAATGGATATATGTGTGAATAGAGAATATGGAGAGATATAAAAAAAGGGAGATAAGAAAGCTCACGGAAAAGTGTGTAAATTATAAAGATCACACGGGAAGAGAGGCTTGCCTTTTGAGATCAAAAAACTGTTCCAGTTGCAGCGATTTTTTTTAAAAAAAGGGAAAAAAATAAATAAAAAGACACCCCCCACCCCCCCAAAGTGAGATGCCTTAATCTCTTTTCCTAAAATTCTGGTCTCCAGTTTCCATATGTGATCGCTAATTTGGAGATGGCTTCCACAGCGCGCCAGGGAATAGCCGAATTCTCAACACCATCTCTCATGGTCCGGACCTAGACAGTTAGAGACTGGGAGAGCCGGGAAGCAACCTTCGGTCTTCGTTCGCGGCTCTGCGGCCTGCGCCATGAAAATCCGTGGCTTCGCCAGTTCTCTTCCTTGGGGAGGGAGGGGGTCCTCGGGGCGCCTCCGTTTCAGAGGAGACTGCCCAGTCTTCTGCAAGCCCTCGAGCTCAGCTGCACCGGTGCGGGGGTCTCGCCTCCCATGGTTGTGCCCCGGCGGCGGCGGCGGCGGCGGTGGCGGCGGCGGCGGCGGCGGCAGCAGGGCTGGCGGGCGCGGCGGCGGCAGGACGAGCAGCCGCGGTTATTGTTGTTGGCGGCGGGGGTAGTGTCGGAGAAGTGGGGGAGGGAGGGGGTTTCTCCCGGAGAATCGAGGCGGGGTTCCCTCCCCCGATCCGCAAAGCTCCTCGGAAGCCAGCGAGCGAGCGAGCGAGCGATGGGGCGCGCGAGCCGGCGTCTTGCAGCAGGCAGGCCCGCCCGCCTCCCCCGCTCGCGGCCGCGCAGCCCCGGGCCAGGCGCTCCCGGCTACAGCATCGCCGAGGTGCTGAAACAGACAGCTCTCCCTGCCCGGGCGCTTCCACCTACTGCATCGCCGTGGTGCTGAACTGGACAGCTCCCCGCGGCCGGGCGCTCTCACCTACAGCATCGCCGCGGTGCTGGACTGGACAGCTCTCGGAGCAGGAGCGCCCACCTACTGCGTCGCCGTGGTGCTGAACTGGACAGCTCCCCACTCTGTGCGCTCCCTGCGCTCTGTAGCCAGCCAGGAGTGGGGCCCGGGCCACGGGGCCTCTGTCCTCCGGGGACGGGCCAGGCCGGGGGCCGAGCGCAGGGCTGCCTGGCCTTCCTGACTCCTGTTCCACAGTTCCGGAATGAGTGCTGTCCGGGGCCTCCTGGAGCTGAGAGGAAGGCGTAGCTGGCACTCTCTCTCTCTCTCTCTCTCTCTCTCTCTCTCTCTCTCTCTCTCTCTTCCTTTCTCTCCTCTTCCCTCCCCCCTCGGTGTTTCTTCCAGATCAGCCTCCTTCTCATTCCATCGCTACGTGCCCAGAGCTTCAAATACAGCCCTCCCATCACAGTCAGACTGCCACAAAACTTCAATCAGCTGCTTCTCCGCCTGCAAGAGAGCCTGGAAGGGTAATTACAAACATAGTCTCTAGGTGCTTTTGCCCCCCTAATTATGGGTTCCACTCTCTTTGGGGAGGGGGGGTTGTTTTATTTTGTTGGCTAGACAGGTGCATCTCCTTCCTCATTCCCCTCTTGATCTTTGTCTCTTTCTGGTCAACAGGGGTGTTTGCACAGCTTTATCTGTGACTCCCTCCCTGTAGCTTTCTGGGAAATTCTACATCTTGCTTCCGCCAGTAGACATTTTGGAATGGGTTATTCACGTGAAATGATGAGGAAAAGGTGGCTGGTAACTGGAGCTTGGGCTATGATGTTCATCTCAAGGCTAAGAATGTTTTCAGGAAAAGTGGGTGAGTGTGCATCTTTCCAAGTTTCCCTCGTCGTTCATCAATGAGATTGAGAGTTTCTTCTAAAGCCTCTCTGTTATGAACAGGGAAAGACAGGAGCCCCCTTTTGCTCAGCAGAACCATGAGCCCCGGCAGATTCCTGTGTCCCCTCTCCAGATGGTGTGTGCAACTTTTCCTTAATGTGACCCTGGAAACTGAAGCACAGCAATGATAGTCGATGCTGTGGATGATATGTTTTCTCCGATCAGTTCTGTGACTAATTAAAGGAGAACAGACAAGGCTCTAGGGTAGGTCTTCCCTTTGGGGGAAAAGGGCTAGAGAAAGCTATGAATCCAGTAAGCCCATTGACAGGTGTAGAAAGATGGTTTGAGTTCATCATTAGTAATCCCACACCCTCGTTTTGTCTCAAGATGACCTGTTTGGTAATTTCTCTGTGATCCAGAGATTAGGAGTGTACACAGAAAATGGCGGAAGTGGAAGTGGTTCCTCAGGTATAAATCCCAGTGCCTGACTTTGTGCTTTCATCTTCCCCGTCACAGGTAGAAACTACCTGTTCCTCTGCCCTGCATAAAACTTCCTTTTCTCCCAATCTCTGTTCCCTCCTCAGACTGAAAGGACCTTTCTGAGGACTGAGAGCTGTCTTTCTGGTCTAGGGAGTGGGTCCTGGCATCTGGGGAATGAGCTGTACAACTTGTGCTAAGGGATTTTGGCTGGAGCTGGCTTGCCTGGGAAGGGTTCTTGGGTTCCTGGCTGGGGAGGAAAGTGGTTGCAGGGAAGCGGGGAGGAATGATTTGCTCATCCTTGGGGCGGTTGAGTAGTGGCTCGGGTGAGTGTTTTTCTTGGGCAGCTACCCTTAAGGAAGATGTGAGGGCAGATATCAAGGCTTCTGAAATCACCTAGGTCTTTTGAGCAGAGCAGCTGGGGAAAGACGCTTAGATGCCCTTACATGTCTGAGAGGTTTCCCTTCACTGATGCTTGTCACGTTGGCTGCCTTTGACCTGCCCATGCAGTGGGGGCAGAAACACTCCTCATCTCTTTTCCTTGCTTAACACCAACACCTGAGCCTTCTGCTTGGAAGGCACCCATGGACAGAGTCTGTCCATGGACTCTGTTAGCCTGGGAACTGCTGACAGTGGCTGTAGCATTTGCAGCCTTTGATTCATCTTCTGGCCAGATCATCACCAGGAAAACAACAGGGATGGGGGAGGAGGAAGAGAAATGGTCTCCACAGTCAGCGTGCAGACAGCAGAGACTGCTGCAAAGAGAATAGCCCCAGGGACACAGCTTCACTCGGGAATTGGACCATTGCCCCACTCTGTCCAAGTTGGCCTCCTGAAGGCTTAGTTTCAGCGTTGTCCACTCTGTTCAGAGATTCTCAGCTACTCTCTGCTTTTCACTGCTGGCCACACTGCTATGGCCTTGGTCACCACACTGATCACACTTAACCATGCTGTGACCTCCTCTTTGCCACATAATCCCTTGAGGTCAAGAGCTGAGTCATGTTCTCTGTTATGACTTTGGGACCCAAGGAAGTTCTAGATCCATGGTGGACTCTTGGTAAATGATGCCCAAGCAGCTGCCATGTGGACTTCATATGCCAGAAAAAAGACAAAGAGCCTGGAATATAGCTAGGGGGAATGCCTCTAATTCCTTTACCCCATTCTACACCCAGAAAGCTCTCTGTTTTCATCTTCTGTACACTTCTTGTCTCACGACCCCCCCTTTCCAAATGAGTTATATGTCATAGGGTCCTTCTGCAGGCCAGGAAAGGCCACCTGGGAGAGCTGGCCCTCTCAGGCTCTCTCTGCTGCTTGGGAGGCACCGGGCCCCTGCGCTTAGAAGCTGTTGAATGGACGTCTAGGGAGCGGCTTTGTGTGCCCGCACTTTGTTACTTGGGAAGGGCTTAGAGGAAATTAGCTGAAATGCCACGGGCCTATTTTGAGCTGACTCTTTGATGGAGTGGAGATAACGTGGGGTTTGGGTGCAGCAGACCTGTTCTTGAAGCACAAGGCTGCCATTTCCTCGTTGTTTGACCTTGGACAGTTACTTTAACCTCTCTGTAAACTTGTCTTTTCATTTACCAAGCACTGGGGGCACGAGCCTTATGCTGTGGTTGTCTAAGTAGTGCATTAATAGCCATATCATCGGCTGACATTTACCGGGTGCGGACCCAGGCTGAAAGGGAGTCACCTTACTCCCATTTACAGATGAGGAAACAGAGCCACTGAAAGATGCAAGTACCTGGCATTATTTTTCATGCTTAGTCAGTGACAGACTCTGGAGTCTAATCCATCATCTAGGCTGAACCCAAGTTCCGAACGTTCTGAGGAAGGGCCTTGTACCAAGACTATCACAGCTTCTCAGCTGCCATTTACAGAGAAACTTCCAGGTGCCAGGTGTGTTCACGGGCATGCCACACTCAGTTCAAGTAACCCTCAATTCTGTGCTAAGAGCTTTTCCTTTAGCTGAGCAAAAGCCCAGAGAGGTTACATCCCAAGGTCATAGGTCATAGGTCAAGTGCGTGAGTCTGCAGAGAACACTTTGAAGGATGTAACTGCCACTTACAAGTCCAAAGAGGATTCATTCAGTTGTTTTGTTTTTAAACCTAAACTTAAGCATCTCCTGTGTGTCAGGTACTGTGCTAACTCCTGGTGGAAGGGACCATCTCTGCAAAAGTGAAGGAATGAGTCAGGCATGGCAGGGCACACCTTTGCTTCCAGGACTCAGGAGGCAGAGGCAGGAAGATCCCTGTGAATCTGAAGCTGCGTAGAGTTAGAAAGTGAACACATACGGGGGGGTGTGTCATTTTCTGTGGGGTCACAGAGCAGAAAGCAGAAGTAGTTAAACCAAGATGGGGGCTGGGATCTGAGAAGAGAGAACATTCTAGGCTGGGGAAATGGCCTGTGAAAGGTTCAGATGTGTGAGGAGAGATGACTGAGCAGTTACAAGGAAACAGAGCAACAAAGTATGGCTCGTGCTAACACAGTAGTGGGGAGTACCCAGCAGTCCTGGAGAAGATGCTGGAGCAGAAGAAACATTCTAAAGGGAAGGTCTCAATTGAGCCTGGAGCAGGAGACAGCCAGGCTGACGAGGCTGGTCCCCAAGCCAGTGATGAGGTAGCTTGGTCAGCATAGGGGATCTCAGGTTGGAAAGTGTGTTGGTCCAGGAGCACCTGGGGTGAGCCAGGTACCCATGCTGAGGCTGGTGATGTGAGGAAGGAGCTGGTACGAGGGGTGGGAAGCTGGAACATCTGCCTCTGTCATGAAGCTGGTTGCCATGTTCTAAGACCCCGACACTCCACGTTCCTCTTTCTCTCTCTTCTCTGCATGCTAATTAATTAATTAGGGATGCAAATCATTCATTTGATTCCATTCTATTCCCAGCAGAATGCAAATCTCACCAAGGCAGAGATTTTTCTCCACTGTGTTCATGCTGTGGTTCCAACCCATTAGAACACACTCCAGCACATAGTAGGTGTACACTAAAAGGGGATTCCTATACCCAGGTAAAAATTCAAATGTGTGCTGTCTCTGCTCCAGACAATATGCTGAGGGGCTAGGGACACTGCCAGGATTAAAATACTTAAACCAAAGAGCTTGAAAAGAGGTCTAGTAATCCGGGACACCACAGTCCATATGGAAGATCCAGAGGTGTTTGAAATCAAATGTGTTTTCCTACTCAACGCATAATCTTGTGGCTCTTCATTTTGCATTTGGTATTTTAGACTGATGTCCAAGGTTGCCTGGGATATACTAGGCTTGCAATGCAGGTTTGATGAGTAAACAAAAGACACTCAAGCCCAGGGTAGTGAGCATGTAGTCCCAACCTGGAGGGGGCTCAGGAGGGTTTTTGGTGCCCAGAAGACCCCTAAATGTCAGAAGGAGAGGTCACAAGTAGTCAAGAGGGGAGCAGAATTCTGAGCACGGCCACATGACCAGCCGCTGCAGAGGACAGCCCAGTTGGAAAGTGTGGTACCCTGGGCAACAGGTACCCACTGGCTCTATCTTCTTGCCCAGGAGGAAGCTGGAAGTTGGGGGCAGAAGAAGCTGTGGGGCCAAATGCACCTGGCCTGGAACCCAGTTCTGCTGCCTGTTTCCCATGTGTTCCCAGGCAGAGATGTGGCCCCTCCGGGATCAGCCTCATCTGTAAGTGCGGGAATGGTACCTGCTTTGATGCCCTGCACTTGCCATTTCCTCCCAAGCATATATGTTTGGATCTTGGCATTGCTTTCTCTCACCTCCCGGGAGGTGTAATCATGTGCTTGCGTAAGTGGTCACAGACACCGAGGCCTCTTTTGCCTCGGCTGTGGTGCTTTTCGCAGCCTGATACACTCTCTCTAATGGTCTGAGGTATCTCCCACCTGCATTTCTTCTCTGGATGTCGGATGCTGTCTCTTGTCCCTTGCGGAAGCCCCCACACCTAGAAGCTGCCAGAGCATGGAGTTGCTGGGTTACTACTTTTGGAATGCCTGAAGTGTGTTGTGGTCACCGTGACTGAGCAGGGTGTGGGAGGCATTCAGAAATCAGGAGATTCAGGGCCTGACCTTGGCCACTGGAGTGTGATGGGGCAACAGGAAAAAGTGCCATTCATGAGACTTCTGAGACATGAAAGCCCAAGCAGGGTAGTTATCCGAAGGCTGGGAGAAGAAGATGCCTGGAGTTGTCTCTAGCAAGCCTCAGGGGCTAGGGGCAATGGGCCACCTAGCTTATAAACTGGGGGTGTGACTTGTCCTGAGCCCGAGGACAGCAGAAAGCTGAGCTCTGCTGTGGAGGTGCCCATGGCAAGAATCCCGGCAGAGAAGTTGCTTCTCCCCCAGGACCCCCCCCCCAAGCCAGAGCCATGAATCACAGCCTGAGGGTGGGTGTGGGATTCCCCAGGAGCTGAGCCACCCATGAACATCTTGAAAGAAAATTAATAACATAGTTACAGAGGAGAACATTTCAAATCAAAAGGGTACATGATGGGGCATGGCATGGCAGGGAGAGCAAAGGGCAGCCAGAGCG